ATGGATGGAGGCCGACGAAGGCGCTGAGTTGTCCGTGGACACTGCCAGATAGATCCATAGTCCTGATAAGAGATGGTGCAGTGTCTATTAGCTGGCTCAGCTCTGACACAGGTCCACAGATGTCCTCAGGAAGGGAGCAGGTTGAGGAGGGGCGGCAGAGCTTCTTGTTCAAATAACTTCCAGGAGAGTTTGAGATAGCTGACCAATTCAAGGCCAAGCAAGGGAGCCAGATCCAGATAACAACAGTTATTTTGGGTCAGGCCCACTCTGCTTGATTTCTGTCTGCCTTCATAGTTCTACTGGTGCGTCTTAATGTCGACTCCAAACAGCCAAATTTTGTGGTCAGCACCACTGGGCCGAGCTTGTAGCTCCCACCAGCGAGTTTCAGGAGCCACAAGTGGCCTGTAACTCTCAGAAATCACGTCCAGCTTACGGCTCAGCTCACACAACATCTGAGTCTGAGTTCACAGCAGGGCACCTTCCTTCACACAAGCCAGGCAGCCTTACAATGGGCAGAACAGCTGCCAATGTTTTTCCACGTTTGTCGTTATGACAGATAACCGCCTACTCCAAAAAGCAGAAATCCTGTTATGTACGCGTCTTCTACATCCTCAACTGACAATACTGACAGAAACAAGATTTTCTACTGCCCCCAGGAATTCAGTGTGTATCCAGCTGCAAATGTCACATCAGAGCAAGACGGCTGTCCTTCACCCTGTCTTCTGGTTGATAAAATGTTATCAATTGCATTGAGAGACCAGCTAACCAGATCTATAATTTACAGTTAGGAAGATATGCAAAGAGACGTTTCACAGGACAAAAAACGAAGCACTTCCAAAAGTTTCAGCTTTTTCTGCTATTTCATCTGTTTTATGCTAATTTTAGCTTTTTCAGCTACAGTAATTCCACATAATTTGCACTCATTTCAACTTTTTTCAGCCTAATTCAGCAAAAATGTGCTCTCTCCACTTCCTTCTGGTAATTTAAGCTTCTTTCTGCTTTTTTAGCTAATTTTCAGCTGTTCTTTTTTTTTTTTTTTTTTTTGCTGTTGTTGCTAATTTCATCTTTTTTTCTGATAATTTCCACTGTATTTTGCTCATTTATAATTCTTTCAACCTAATTGGGCAAACATCTGTTCTTTTTAGTTTTTTTTTCTGGTAATTTAAGCTAGTTCTACCTTTTCAGCTACATTTTTAGCATTTTTATCTAATTTCAGCTGTTTTCAGATAAATGTAAGTTTTTCATGGTAATTTTTGTTACTTTCAACGTAAATAACTTCTTTATGGTCATTTCAGCATATTATGCACCTTAATTTCATCTTTTTTTGTTTTAGTTCTTACTGCTATTTCAGCTACTATTTAGCTGTTTTATGATAATTTTAGCCTTTTCAGTTACCGGTAATCCCTCATTTTTTTAATCTCATTTCAGCTCTTTCCATTTCCTTCTGGTAGTTATAGCTTCTTTCTGAATTTTCATCTACTTTTTTCTGTGTTTTTGCTAATTTCAGCCTTTTTAGCTAATTTCTTAATTTGTGCGTGCTAATTGCAGCAAAAATGTGTTCTTTCTACTTTCTTATGTTAATTAAGGCTTGTTCTTTCATTTCAGCTGCAACTTAGCATGTTGTTTTTAGCTAATTTCAGCTGTTTTTCAGCAAGTTCTTCAGCAATAAGCATATACAATGCATTTTCACTAAAAATGCAATTTCTCTAGTTTGTTTTTACTTTTCTCTCTCATCAAAACCAGTTTAAAGCATTTTTATCATTGTGTTTTTATTTAAAATTGTAAACCATTCTGTGAGCCTCACACAGGCACCACAGTTCTTTATTTTGATGTGGTCAGAAAAGATTTTTAATAGATTAAAAGAATAATCATAATACTAAGTAAAGACAGAGCGATAATGTTTTTGTTCATGTCCGTGTGTTTGTGCTGTTAGTGAAATAGATCATGAAACACTGGATAGATTTTAATAAACCATTCAGAAAGCAACTGCTGGATGCACATCTTCAACTGATCAACTTTTTGAATAAGACCAATTCAAGATGGATGCCACAGCTAATCAATATTAGCTGGCTGAAAATGGCTCAGTCAGTTTAACAGATAATAAGTTAAAGGTTAAACTGAGAGTCATTTGAGTGTCATATCTCACAGTTTTACATGAGATGGCACCAAACATTATTTTAAAAGTTTGACCAAAACAACTAAAACTCCATCACTTCCCATTATATGATGTTTAAATAAAGGTTGAATGAAAAACGAAGCCTAAAACTGAACTCATGAAAGGCTGCAATCCTTCAAGGTATGTTAGGCCTTTAAAAATATCTGATTTGGTTGAAGGTATTAAATTCCATCTATGCATAATCAATAACAGTTTTATAATTAGCAAACAATCTCCTTAATCTGATCTTATTTGCTATTAGTCAGTTAACATTAAATCAAGGCAAAGATAAATGAAAAAAAAATCTGCCATGATGAATAAAGTCTTATTGGAGAATAAAATGCTTCTATGGGACAATAAATAAATAAATAAATAAATGAATAAATAAATAAATAAATAAATAAATAAATAAATAAATAAATAAATAAATAAATAAATAAATAAATAAATAAATAAATAAATAAATAAATAAAAGAAAAAAGAAAGAAAGAGAAAAAAACCACGCCTAATAAAACACTGCTCGATGGTAATGGTTATAAAACAAATACACACAAACATTTAGAACTTTTATCATTTTAACAATAATTTCTCCACCTGTGCCCTGAAACTAAAGGTTTGTCCAGATATACTTTGCTGCTCCTGAATGTGAACGTTACTTTCGTCTGTCCATATTTTAGGTGTTTTTAACAGAAACAAACAACATATTTTTGTGAAATCATGTTCTGGTGATTTTATATTCATTGGGTGTCATTTTATCTCTTATTTTTACAGAATGCAGAGCAGGGTGCTCAAAAATGGGATTATTATTTTACAATTTGGGGAAAAAAACATCTAAAGTTGAAACTACAACAGGAAAGATTAATTTTACAAAGAGTGTTTAGTCAAATACTGTAGACCTCTGTGGATGTGCTGGCTGATGCAATTAATTTGTCTGAAACAGTCATAAAATAAATTGCATGTCTCTTCAAATACAGTTTATCAAGAGTGTGGTGAGAGGAGGAGCAGTTTAAAGATCAGCCTGTGCTGCCTCCTACTGTCTTAAACTGTGTGATCACAGCCAAAAGTCCTCCCAGAGACAAAGACCTGGTTTAGTTTCTGCTGCAGTGTCTTCAGGTCCACACATGACATATTGTCCATGACATTTGCAGAGTCACAAAGGGTAAAATGATTTTTCATTGTCCATGTTTATTTCCCTGAACACTTTTTGCTTGTATAAATCATATATTTAAGACAATAAAATAGTTTTAATTTTTTCAAAGATAACATCTTACGCTAAAATAGCATTGTATATGATTGAAAAACACAATAATAGTGATTACATTTCTACTTTTTTATTATTAAGCTTCTTCTCCTTCTTTTCTTTTTGTTTTAGAAAAACATAAAATGAACTCAAAGAACATGTTGCTAAACATCTGACATGCATCTAGAGAATTTTGGGTATGAATCTTTGAGATGACTGTAATACGTGCACAAAACATTCTCTTGTCTCAGCCTGAAGGCAGCTCGCCGACTTGCAGTGCCTCATGAGAACATGCCCAAAACATTCTCTCATCTCCATTTGGAGGCTGACTAGTCGATGGTCCTTCTTTATCATGTGGACAACTAGTTTTGGCTGTCACCATCTAACTGGTTGATCCACTATGTGTAGGTGTTATTTATAAGACTGAGTTTATTGCAGCTCCTCAGACTGACAAAGTCTTTTGGATAGAAGATGAAACGTTTCAACAAAGAAGAATCTGTCCAGAGGACCTGACTTAAACTTTTTAGATTTTTTTTCTACCTGGATTATTGAGCATGAATCAGGATATCCCATCAATATATTTATTTATACTTCCATATACTCATGTTTTTATTGAATTCAAAATTTAAGCAGGACCATTCTTTGAACATTGAGCAGATTAGAGACATAAACATACAGTATCTATTTTGTAACTCTATGTTAAAACTAACTAACTAACTAACTAACTAACTAACTAACTAACTAACTAAC